TCGGAATGAGCTTCATTTATCGATCACTTCTCTTGATGAGATATTCTGTTGTCGGGCGCCAGTCTTTGAAGGCAGCGATTACGATAGTTCAAGAAGGGTTTAGAAGAGACGTGGTGGTGCTCAATGGTACGCCAGTGGCGAAGAAAGCGGAGAAATCCGTCAAGAAACGCAAAACGGGACCCCTTATTTGGCCGTTAGTTTTCACTCATGAACAGGTAACAGCTCAGGAAGCGGATGTATGAGTTTTCACTCATGAACAGGTAACAGCTCAGAAAGCGGACGTATGAACGAGTTCACGCAACGCGTTTGGTGGCACCATGCCAAACCACGCTCCAATCGAGTTGCTCCAGTTGTGCCGCTGCTGGCAACGCAGCTCGTCCAAATCACCAACTAAACTAGTGGGCGGAGCGCTTTCGAAGTCCTGCTCAGCAACCAGCGCACCTTTCGTCGTGAAAGCTACACCTCGCTTCCTGGGCCAAGTAACTGCTTCGTGTGGTGCATATGCTTCCCGATGCGCTCCCTCTTTATCGTAATCGCTGCCTTTAATGACTAGGGCTACCGGACCTCCGCTAGTGATAAGCCATTCAGTCTCCTCACCTCGAACCGCTGCTGGTCAAGATGTAAAACTGTGTAGTGGAAATCGTCTTGAACTCCATCTATCTCGGTTGATGCTTCAATTCAAAGAACCATCAATCGGAAAAACGGCGCATCAGAGCAAGTTAGACGTCCACCCACCATGCGCAGATTGTCCAAAATTCATACCAACAGAATGTCGTGGTTATATCGCACTGAAAAGTGGCAACATAATTGAACTTAACTCCAGTGAAATGCTCTGTATTGAGTGTGCCGAAGGGAAAGCACTGCTACAAGCGTACTAGGAACATCGACCAATTCATTCGCTATTGATAGCCTTGCACATAGTCGACAACACCTGCTTACACAACAGGATCGACGACGTTCTAGGGAGTCTTCGTTTATTTATCAATGCAAAAGGCGGCATACCAAGGAAAAATACTTTCGCCTGTTTCATAACTTTCCGCCAATATGGTGGCGTTGTTAAATTGGGTCTTCTTTGCCACATCGCCTTTTTATGGATTTCGTTTTTGGCGTCCCCTATCTAATCGCGGTCTCCGGCATGAGTCTCAAAAGGGAAGAATCGTAAGTCGGAGCGGTTGTCTTTGAAATGAAGAAGGCATGTTCCATGGGCGTATGCCTGACGAATGTTTACGAACGATACGCATGACTATGAATGGCATTTAGTGTTTGTCCTGGTCTAACGATGCTAGCAGTGTCATGGAGGATTCCGAAAAGCTTCGTGCACTTATTTTATCATCATGTCGTCGAGGTACAACGTGAGAGTGCATGTGTGTGGGGCGAGTGGATGGGTGGTTCAACTCATAGCTGCAAAGTGAAGAGCTCGAACTTTTTAGATGCACGGTTTTTTATAGTTCCTAGCAAATATCTCTGCGAGTTTTAAAAAAATCTCTCTGGAACGTTCAAGAATTTAAATTGTTGCCAGGGGACTATCAGCTGTAGTCGTGTGAAGACGTGTTAGCATTATTTTGGGGTGAGCGGGGGGGGTTTCACTTAAATGATACCCGAGCGCATTCTATCACATGTACCAAAAGTTCCTGTAGCTTGTTTCCAACATATTTGAGCGGATTTGGAAAATGAACGTTCGAGCCATATACATTTATTTCAAACGATCACGCCGATCAAACGTCTTTCATCATTTTAGCGCGCTTCATCCCTTCCGTACCTTTCCAAATCACTGTATGAATCATACGATGATAGTCATTTCAGAAAATACTGATGAAGTCCTTGAAACCGGAGAATGGACTGACTGGTCGCAGTGTTCACAGCAAGGTAATGAGAGTTGATGTTATGCACGTTAAGGAGTCAGATTTCTATTGCGTATTCTTTGTTGAGTCTTGCAAGAAGTTAAGGGTTAGGTTGATCCATTCCGTACAATACACGATACAATATTTGAAGATTCATACCAGCTTTTCGATCATTAAAAAGTTTTAGGTTTCGAAGCACGCTCTAGAGCTTGCGAATATGGTAGGAAGATTCAGCGACGTGGCTGTCCTGCACGACAACCTCTACAAGGATTTGTCGACCGCAGCAGCCCTCCTGAAGCTGCGCCTTTCCAATATGCTCCTCGCCAACCTTCTTCTCCTGCAACAGCATTTACTCCTTACGCCGAACCTAGAGAAGAACCGAATCACAGTCAAAATAGGCTGACACAATCACCTTATGACCAATACGCACTCCTCTACATGCAAAGGTATGTATTTGGCAGCATTCTTAATCAAGCTCATGTTGGTACGAGAATGGTAAACAGTGCCCGGAGCAGCAACTTTATGATTGTAAATTTTTCATTAGATTACGATTGTTTGATGGCATAATTTTGTCTTGAACGTGGCTACCAGTTATGCCAGGCACATGTCATTTAATCTATCCGCGCTAATCTCCTGAATATGAAAGAGCTCTCCATACGGCAGAGTATATGGTCCGAAAAAAGCTGGTAATACCTCAGCATAGAACCAGGCTGCCAAAGCGGACAACAATGAAGAAGAGGATTGCAAATCTAACGCACGTGCCTGCATCAGAGCTTCATTTAAACAGGTTGTTGATCCCACCCATTAAGACCGAGTAGGATGATTCGACAAAGTTCTACATGGGAGACATTCTCCCTCGACGGTCCTTAGAAGAGTGGCTGAAGCACGTCAAATTGAGATCCGCGGAATGAC